CCTATTCCATCCAATTTCGAGTTCTGGTTTGGTCTGTGTTAGCCTCAAAGCCAGGTAACATATTCTTTTGTTTCATTGATAGCCTGAGAAAACGCATGGAATTTGAAAAGAAAGACAATAATTGATTTAAATCTCACACTTTTATTCTCACAATTAGGAATATTTTGCGCACAATGAGGCTAACATAGAGCATTGGAGAATTCGAAACTGGATTATTCCACACCTTTTTCAAGACAAATTGGTAAATTGTAGACCCTATTCAAGACAACTGAAGGTCAATTGCAAATCCCAATTCAAGACGCGATAAGACCAAAACACTGTCTCACGCTTTTAGTTCATTGTGCGCTCTAGTATATCATGATAGTCTCCTTCACAGCCTAACCTTTTGTCGGGCTTCCTGTGCCTCCCAACAGGCTGCGAAGGAGACTAATATCGTGACGGTCTTCCTTTGTTTTAGACTTAAAGTGTAGAGCTCTACGAAAGCCAAAGAACGCAAAAGTCCAGACGACAGGCACAGGATTTCAGGACACTGTAACGTACACTTGTAAGAATGGTTACACCATGAGGGGTTCTAAGAAAAGAACTTGTCGAGGAATTGGTACATGGGATGGCAAAAAGGCACGATGTCGTGAGTACCCACCTTTGTTTTGTTGGACTGACTAAATGAACTCTAGTTATCTATAATTCTTGAAACATGGACGCTGGAACAGGAGGGTGGAGAGGGGAAGGAGGCACTTCCACCCAATAATCTTCCACTTTTAAATAGAATTATAATTTTTTTATGTACCAATAAAGAATAAGTTTTTAAAATGGTATTCATTTCTTATGATGATTCTACCAACAATGTTGAGGACATAAATTCAACGAGAACCGCTTTCATCAAAACAATTATTAAACATTAATTAAAAATTATTAAAAATATTGAAAATTATAGAAAATAGAACCAAATATTTTCTCTATAAATATTATGTATTTTGATTCTTACAGCAAGACGTTGTAAAGATCCTGGTGACATAAAGTTTGGTAACAAGCAAGAAGACAAGCGAGATTACAAAGTCGGATCGAAGATCACCTACTGGTGTTTTCCTAATTATGAACAGGAAGGGAACAACAAGCTAATATGTACTAAAGCAGGGACGTGGAGCTCGCCACCACCAAAATGCAATCGTGAGTAACATGAGTAGTATCACTTAGGAACCAACCTTTCCATTCCCATCCACAGAATGCGGGCTTACTAGGGGCTAGCCATTCATTGGGCAGAATTCTATTGTTTTAGGCGACATTTTTTCAATGACGAGTTTGGCCATTTTCTTTGTAAATCGATGTTCTCAGCCCCGCCTGACGTTCATTCTGCCCAATGTTCATTCTGCCCAATGT